ACCCAAAATCATTACAACTTTTATCCGGACTTCCATTATTTGTGACAAACTCCTGCAGTGCGCTTCGAGTTTGAAAATATTTAAGTCATCTAAAGAGGAGGTGTAAATAATGACGTCGGTATTGCGCGATTCTACTTCCTGTTTTCTATTGGCAAGCCATCGGCAATTTTGACATTCTCGCCGTAAACCCCCTAGCCAAGGTTCGGTTACGACTCTTCCCTATTATTATTTATGCATAAATACCAGTAGTGGCACTACTTTAAGTCCTTTCCTTACGGAACTGTGTTAAATTCCTAATCTCCTGCCATTAATCTGTTTCAGACCGACGTTTTGACCCATTTAATTTCTGCTATCAGATCAAATGCAACTGCAGATCCATTTTAGGTTTTGCGAGAGGTTGAAGTGCATCCCCTCAGTAGTCTTATTAGAGCTGATGACTAGCACGATTGGCTCGATGGTGTTTCCTTACATCATTGAAGGCCTCGCAATAACGGCTGGTACAAGAGGAGCTCTGAAGCTGTCGTTCAATGTATAGCATCTCTTCTGCAACTATCCGTACGAGTGGCGGTCCTTTGGGCGGTTGTCTTGCTCTCATCGTGTGTGCTGACATTCCGGCCACGTCAAGGCCGTGAGCCCTCATACCATCACGCAATACTCAGTTTTTCATCATTTCCTCGCCTCCCTTCGTCATCTGTGATGAGATGGAAGTTGAATGGATGGATCCACACTCTGCGGCCTCCATCCACTTCCATTCTATGCACCACCTCACCCTCTCACAGTTGGCGCTGTGAAACGACAAAGGCACTACACGATCACACAACCAAGCAGGAAAGTGGAGGGCGGATGAAGACGCTGATGTACCGCCGATTTCATCATCCACCTATTCAATTTTGCGCCTAAAAGTAGCACTGAGGGCGGTTAAAATGAGTCCCAACCTCTCGTCTACCGGTCTGTCTCCACACACCTCTCCCTTTTGTCACTCCAGACAGATCAAGTAGACGTAAATCTTGTACAAGCACAAGCGGTAATGACAGTATGGACCTGTCAGTGCATCACTCTCTCAGTCAAACTGTTGATGCGTGAGTGCAAATGACAAGGCACCAGTCCAGTGAATTTGACAAGAGGGTGTCGTCGCCTTGAAGACGTACAACTTGCCGGAACACTTGTCCGCATTGAGGAGGTGTGAAGAGACCTCCACCCTCCACTCTGAAGATGAGCACTACAATAGCCTCTTAGTCATACAGACAGCGTTGCATTACTCTACTTTTC